TCAAAATAACTCTTCTCTTTGGTCTTCCTTATTCATTGTTCAGCATTCATATGATAGGAGGCAATTGAAAATCATATCCTGGCTTGACTGTGCCTTAGTTCCCAAACTGACATCTTTACTTTTTAACACTTAGATATCGGGCAGCGTATCTACCAAAGACAATACATTGTTTCATTTCTTGACTGCTGCTTCCAAGGTTATTGATTGTGGATCCAAGTAAAATGAAATCCCTGACAACTTTAATCTTTACTCCATTTATCATGTGTTTTTATTGGTCCATGTGAGGATTTTTCAATAGAATGAAGTGTAATACATACTGAAGGCTATAGATGTGGATCTTCATCAGTAAGTACTTCAAATCTTCACTTTCAGTAAATTGTAGGTTGTTACAGAGCCTTCCTCTAGTCCATAAGACATGTTTTTCATACAATTCGGCTTCTCAGATTGTTTGTTATCATACTGATTGAATAAGTATGGTAAAAAGATTCAACTCTGACTCCTACAATTTTTGATTTAAAAACACCCAATATTCCCTTCTATTCCAGTGACTGCCTCTTGATCTATGTACAGGTTATATATTAAGTATGAGCAATGAAGTGTTCTGGAATTCCCAGTCTTTGCCATATTATTCATAGTCTGTTACTATTGGAAATGCCTTGTCATTCAGTTAAGATCATCTGACATTAGCAATGATGCACCTTGTTTCATGTCCTCTTCTGAATCTGGGTTGAATTTTGGCAGCTTCCTATTATACTGCTGCAACTGTTTTTTAATTATCTTCAGCAAAATTGTACTTGCATATGATACTAATGTCATCGCTCAGTGATTTCTGCATTCTGTTTGATCACTTTCCATTTGAATGGTCACAGATATGGATTTCTTCCAATCTATTGACTGGTAGCTGTCTTCCAAATTTCTTGGGATAGACGAATGAGTACCTGCAGGTACTGTGTTAATTTTGAGACATTTCAATTAGTGTTTCATCAGTTCCTGGAGCATCAGTTTTATTTGCCAGTGCCTTCAGTACAGCTTGTTGTTAAGTGCCGTTGAATTGGTTCTGCCTCATAGCGACCTTGTATTGGGTTTCAAAGGAGCAGCTGGTGAGTTTGAACTGCCATCCTTGTGGTTCAGACCGACCTTGCGGTCCAGTGCTTTATCCCACAGTGACACACCAGGACTCCTCAGTACAGCTTAGACCTCTTGAAATGGATGAACATTGACCAATTCTTTTTGGTACATTGACTGTATACTTTGCATCTTCTTTTGATGCTACCTGTATCATTCAGTATTTTGCCTTCAATATTGCTGCTTGAGACATGAATTTTTTCAGTTCTTTTAGCTTGAGAAATGCTGAGTATAATCTCTTTTGGTTTTTGATTCCAGATCTTTGTGTATTTCATTATATGAAATTAGAGGAGAATAGACTTTGCTTAGTCTGCCTGAGCCACCCTTTGAAATTTTCTCTTCAGGTCTTTTACTTTATTACTTCTTCCAGTTGTTTTAGCTTCTTTAATTTAAAAGCAAGTTCTAGAGAGTCTTTTGATATTCACTTTTGTCTTTTCTTTCTTTCCTGTGTTTGTAATGACTTTTTCCTTTCTTCATGTGTTATAGTCTTGATGTCATTCTATAGCTTCTCTGATCTTTAGTCATTAATTATCAGTGTGTCAGATCTGTTCTTTCTCTCAGCTGAAATCCAGTTATTGACCATTTTAAATAAGACTATTACTATGATATGCACTATTATTAACCATTTTAAATAAGACTATTACTATGATAGTCTTATTTAAAATGGTCAGTAACAGTACATTTCAGCTGACCTATGCCTAGGATATTGATCCCTATGGGTTCCATTTCATTTTGACAACTTACAGGTGTTCCTAGATTTATACTTTGTACATTCCACATTTCGATATTAATGGATGTATGCAGATGTTTCTTCTCATTTTGATTGTAGCGTATCACCAAAATGTTTACTCTATCAGTGCCATTAAGGTCACCTTAATTTAGAAGAGGCAGTTCTCCCCAAGTCTTATTTTCAGTGCCGTCCAACCTGAGGGGCCCATCCTCCAGCACTATATCAGATAATGTTTTGCTGTTGTTCCATAAGGTTTTCAGTGCCTAACTTGTTGGAAGTAGACCACCGCTTCCTTCTTTCTAGTGTTAGTCTGGAAGCTCTGCTGAAACCTATCCACCATAAATCTCTAGCACAGGAAATACCAGTGCCATAACTATTAACATCACAGCAATATGAAGCTACCACAAATGAGCTATTAAGATTATCTCTTTGAACTCTCAAAAAAGCAGTTACCTTAGCCTTCAGAGCTGACTTCTCTACTATTAATGTAAACAACCCATCAGATCTTCTTTGAAGCCACTGTTTTATTTGGCCTTTGAACTGCAAAGTCACAGTTCAAGCTCACCAGCTTCTCCTCAGAAACTCTATCCAGGGTTGCTGTGGGTTGGAACCGACTTGACGGCACTTAACAACAACAAATAATGAGACTAGAGCTCCTGGTATGATGCTGTGGGTTAATGCACTGGACTACAAAGTTGGTTTGAACCACAATATCTGTGGTTCATGCTTACCAGCTGCTTCTCTGAAACCTATACAGGGTTGCTATGGGTTAGAAAGGACTCGACAGCACTTAATAACAACAACAATAATGAGACTGGCATCCTGATGTGGCACTGTAGGTTAAGCACTGGACTGCATGTTCGTATTGAACCACAATGTCGGTGGTTCAAATCACCAGCCACTCCTCAGAAAACCTTTACAGAGTCACTATGTGTTCAAACCTACTTGACAATACTTAACAACAGTAACATGAGACTGAGTCAGAACCAACTCAACAGTACTTAACAACAACAAAAATACCTTGGTGATCATGCTGATATTGAAAGACTAATGACACAGTTTCACAATGCCACTTAAGCTACCACAGTCTGACAAACTAACAGATGGAGTTGGAGGATATGGTTTACCACCTTGCAGATACATTGTAGTTAGTTCACCGCCAGTGCTTTCTTGCTTAACTTCTTATTGTGAATTGGGAGTTCTGGTGTGGCACAGTAGGATAAGTACTCGACCACAAGGTTGGTTTGAACTGCAAGGTTGGTGGTTCAAACTCACCAGCTACTCCTCGGAAGCCTTATACAGGGTCACTATGACTTCAAACTGACTTGACGGCATTTAAAAACAACAGCACCAACTGTGAAGTGAATGGAGGTTTACAGATCAGATCTTCAGTTTTATATTTGACAAATCATATACTTTGTTTCTTTTCAATGGTGGCAGTCCCCTCCATGTAATATCAGTTATCCCATATCTTCCCTGTGATTCTTCCATTCCCAGCCATTCTGAAATTTGTCCGTAGAAAGTTCACAAAAATAGAAAACCACAAATGCTGACAATGGTGTGGGAAGATTGGAACACTACTACACTGTTGATGGGCCTGTCAAATGGTGTAGCCACAGCAAAAAATGCTGCCCTTTTGATTTGAATAGTTTATTTTCCATAGTTAGTATATCTTACTAGTGCTGTTGTTCTCCTCCTCCCCCCCCACACCCCATCTACTGCTTGGCTGAAAATTGAGCCATAAGAGTGAGTTCAGTTCTGGAGCTGAAGAGTGACTCTAGGGCCCCTCCAGTCTTTCTAACAAGTAAGTCTGGTCTTTTTTTATACATATAATTTTCAGTTTTGTTCCGTGGTTTCTCCCACTCTATATCCAGGACCTCTAATGTGGTCCCTTTCAGAACAGTTGGTAGTGGTAGCCAGCAGGTACCATCTAGTTCTTCTGGCCTCAGCATCATAGAAACTGATGTTCACATGGTTCCTTAGTCCATTGGAATAATCGATTCCAAGTGTCTTCAGTTTTCATCACTTCTTTCCTTCAGTCCATGGGACTAGAACCCACAGCTGCTCTGTCTCTCCTCTGCCACCATCTTCTGCTGTCGCTGCTTTTCTAGGTAGGGATCTCATGCTCCACTCATGCTCTTCCTTCTTGATGGTCTGGGATCATCTGTTACTGAAATGAAAGATGGACTACTGCCCCCTTTTAGTTACACATCTTCTACAATTATAGGTGTGACAATCACAATTAATCCTGCTAACAATTATTCACAGTTGAATCACAAAATCCTATCACCATCAACTCCCTTCCCCTTTCACCAAATCCGTCTGGAAGAGAAAAAAACTATTCAGTGGGGATTCCACCTTTCCTTCCCTCCCCTATTCCTTTTCCATTGACGTTTTTCTTCTTATTATTTTTTTGAAAATGTGGAGTCCTGGTGTGGCGTTGTAGGATAAGCACTGGGCTGCTAACCGCAAGGTTGGTTACTCACCAATTGCTACTCGGGAAACCTATACAGGGTTGCTGTGTGTTAGAACTGACTCGACCAGCATTTAACAACAACAAAATTATTTCATGTAAAAGGAGACTTTATAAAGGTATCCTGTAAAATTTAGCACTGAGACCTTACTTTATACTGCCCTTAAATCTTTGTTGAGGAATTATTTATTGTGTATTTTTGATGCTTTGATAATTAACTTTGTGTGTTAGAAACTAAGATATGAGGTTTGGAAACACTGAAAAATAATTAAAATTTGAGAAGTTTCTGTGCTTCTCATAGTTTTATTATGTCAAGAAATTAGTATAGAAAGAAAATTTAAATTTAATTGTAAATTTATGGTTTATGCTCATTTTTTAAATTTTATGGTTATTAAAATAAAAAAAACAAAAAACATATGTTACATCCAAATTTGGAGTGCTTTTTTCTCTTAATAAAATTACAAATGAGTGTGCGTTTCCTTTTTTTCCCCCTTATACTTAATAAATACTTTTCAGCCTATCTAAAATTATGAATACAGTCTGGTAAAGTTCAGTAATTTAAAGATAGTTAACTGGTTCTTACAAAATATCTGTGAAGTTTGATTTTCCTTGTGCTTTGATTAAAAAAATGTTTTTTTTTAAGATTTACTTCAAGAATGTTTTTTTTTTAAGATTGACTTCAAGAATGGTACCTTTCTATTTTCCTCCATCAAAATGTGCGCTTTGGAACCAAACACCAATTGGAAATTTCACCTACTTACATCTTAATTACTACAGGTATGTTTTTCTTTTTAGATCAAACCAGTATAAACAGAAGTAATGAAAGAATATATAAGACAAAAATTGCTTACTTTGATCAATTATTCATTTGTTTTCTTTAAATTCTGAAGATCTCAGGCAAAATCATCCTTCTGCTTCCTCTTTTTTTTTTTTTTTTTTTTTTAAATGATTTATTGTGAATTATGTGACAGTTTACATGGGAGAACATTAGTTTTACATTCATTCTATCGTATATCGTCTCATTGCCATGGTTACAATCCCCTCCATGCAATCCTTCCCCTGTGCCCCCCAGGTCTTCAGCACACAGTCGCTCTCCCTCTCTGGGTCTAGAGTCTCCAGCTGCTCCATAGCTCCATGTCATCATCTCAGGCTCCATTTCAGGCATCACTGCTTCTCTGGGTAGGGTCCCGTTCTCTGTTCTTCTCCCTTGATGGTCCTAGGGACCTCCGCTCTTAGACTGAAAAGTCAGTCACTCCCCTCCTTGCTATAAAACGTCCACCCTTACATTTCCAACCCTCACAGTCAGTCCTGATAACAATTATTCACTATTGTATCACAAGAAACTCGTCTGCATTTCGTTGCATCAGCCCCACCTAGTCAGATTGAATACTACTCACTGGAGATTCTGCCTTCTTCCATACTCCTCTGGGTCTAGGTTCCCCCTTGAAAGCTTGTAAGCCAGTCATTTCTTGCCTTTGTAGCCCGTCACCCCCCATTTTGGGTAGCCAATGTCCAAGTTGCCCATCCCTGTCTACTCTGTGTGGAGGGGGTGGAAATGATTCTTGCTGTAAGGACTTGTTCCCTCTTTTGAGCTACTGCTTCCATAGGTGTAGGTCAAGTTCATCAATGTATGAGAATATATATATATATATTATTATTTTTTTTTTTTTCCGTCCTCTTTTTTTCTTCTGGCTGAGCTCTGATCATCCAGTCATCGAAGCCAGGGCAAGTAGGTTTTTTATTGTGAATTGAGTGAAACTTTGCAGACAAGATCGTCAGCTTTACATTCAACAAACTATATACTTTGTTTCATCTCAATGATTACAATTCCCTCACTGTAACAACAGTTATCCTACCTTCTCCCTGTGGCTTCTCTTCTACATCTTAGATTTCAGAAATGAAATATTTGATGTATACATACAAAACAAAAATTATATATATTCATTTAAATGTCCAAAGAGCACATTCAGCAAGCCAGTCTCCTGCCTGCAGGCACACAGCCTTACTCAATCCATGGGGCCTACAGCCAGTAGCTTCTTTGTCACTTCATGCCACCACCTCTGCCACCGTCTTTGCTGTCGCTGCTTTGCTAAGTAGGGATCTCACGCTCTACTTCTGTTCTTCCTGGGATCGTCTGTTCCTGAAATGAAAGATTATACTTGTATTTATACATCTTCTACAATTACAGTTGTAACAGTCACAATTAATTTGGATAACAGTGAGTCACAATTGAAATAATAAAATCTATGAGTTTTTTGTTATGTTTTAGTTATATTTATTAATTTTTTAAATTGTGAAGTATCTCAAACACAAAAAATTTAGAGGATAAATATAGCACTTACATCTCTTTCACCCAGTATTTGTTACTCAGCAACATCAGTATAATGTTCCCAAGATTCATTCATGTTGTTGCATGTATAAGGATTTTATCTCTGTATATGACAGACTAATTTTCCATTGCATGTGTATGAAACATTTTGTATATCCATCTAGTTTTGGGCATTTTGTGTGTTTTCTATCTTTTGCCTAGTAGAAAGTTTTGCAGTGAACAACCTATTTGAATCCCTGTTTGCCAGTCTTTTGGGTTTAGACTTAGGGGTGAGAGTCCTGGATCCTATGGTAATTTTATAGGTAAGTTTTTGAGGAATTGGCAAACTGTTTTCTACCACTTATTATCATTTTTTTTTTTTGGTAGTGTCTTGTTCCTTGAACATATTTTAGCTTCACCTGTAGATGCCTAAAATTTTGATCTTATTTTACAGTCTGTATTCAATAAGGCTGTGTTGTTGTAGTTGTTAAGTGCCATCTAATTGGTTCTGACTCATAGTGACCGGTATAGGTTCTCTGTGGCTGTACACCTTTGTGGGAGCAGAAAGCCTCATCTTTCTCCTGTGAGCTTTCTCATTGGTGATCTGTTTGTACATTTTAAAAGATATATTTTATATTTCAATAAACTGTGTGTTAGTGTTTCATGGAAAGGTTTCTTTTTTAAAAATTACTATATTTTAGCTGTAATTTGGAGAATAATCATATAAAACAGGTTTGTCTTTTTTTAAAAAAACAACAGTTATCTTTATTTTTCTAAAAAAATGATTATTATAGCAAAATAATGTATAGTACACAATAGTAGAGAATTTCATAGCTTTATTAAGATGAGAACTTTATATGGGGAAAAGTTCACTGTATAATTTGGCTTAGCTGCAAAAACATTAAAGTTATACTTTAAAAACTCCTTTATAGCATAGTAACTTCATATGTTGTGAAATGATTTTCTATAACCTTGACATTTTCTTCAGATAGCAAGTTTTCCTGTTTTAGCTGCCTTTAATTAGAGCTTCCAGTGACTTTAGTCTTCTAGATTTTGTGCTCTTGTACTTCAAGAAGACCTATCTTTGAATAAGCTTAGAAACTTTCTGCTAAAGTCATTATTTATGTCTTGTCTGCAGTATAAATGTTCAATGTGTACAACTTTGGTTCCATAGTTGACATCTTTATATAAGGAGTCTTCAGTGTCTGTATCCTCCATCTCCATGATTTCTTGTGTAGGTATAAAATAATTAACTGTAGATCTAGAATTTTCAGTGTGTACAAAAATGTCAATTATAGAGTTTCATGAAGTTCTTTAGGATGTAAGATCCACCATATTTAAATAAATTTTGTTATTTTTCAGAAACCCAAAACTTGTGGTGACTGAAAAGACCATCCGACTTGCTTATCGTCATGCTAAGCAGAATAAAAAAAACCTGCCATGCTTTTTACTGGGTTCTCTCACAGTGGATGAAGGTAGTATACTTAAAAAGCTCTTATGACTATAATAGAATTTATTTAGCAAACTGTTAGAACAAAAGTGGGCTTCAAAAAGTTCATGGAAAAAATAGAATAAAGGGATAAGAGTATTGTCCATAAATTTGAAAAAAAAAAATTTATTGTGAGGTGAGCAAAGTTTTACAGGGCAGCTAAGATTATCAGTTTTATATTCAGCTAATCATATACTTTGTTTCATTACAATAATTGAAAAACCCCTCCACGTACCATCAGTTAGCAGTATTTACTGTTTCCTTTAACTCTTACCCTTCTCCCTGTGTCTTCTGCTACCTTCATCTTTCTTTGCCAACATCCCTCTTGAATGTTGTCTGTTCCATAACCGATGTTATATGTGTATGTCCTCTGGCCTGTGAATAATTCCCATTCCCCCCTAATCAACATAGAAAGTTCCATTTAGGAAAAAAAAAAAAAAATTTTTTTTTTTCTTAACTTTTGCAACAGTGGAATGATCTCATCCAATATTTGACCTTTTATGACTGACTAATTTTACTCAGCATGGTACCCTTCTGGCTCATCCAAGTTGTTCCACACACTTTTTGAAACTCCTTCATACACCATGTGATGAATCTATGGACTAGGTATACTATTGTTGTGACCAAAGTGCTTTTCTCTGTATTCTTTAGATGAAGAAGGAGTGACATTGACTGTAGATCGCTTTGATCCTGGTCGAGAAGTACCTGAATGCTTCGAGAGAACTCCAACTGCTTCTCTTCCTGGGGACTTTTTGATTCCATGTAAAGTTGATACACAAGGGCTTTGTTCAAGAGAAATGGTAGTTCACAGTGCAGATGACTTCAATTCAGTTTTTAAGGTGAGGTCTTCTTGATTAATTTCATTAGTTTTTATTTAATGTAAAAGCCAACCTATGTATAGTGTGTTTTATTTTAACCCCTAGAAGAGAAGTATTTGTAATAATTTATGATTTAATAGATATTGACCCAAAATGTTTCTGAGAGCAGAGATATTAAGTAGGTGACATGGTTAACATTCCAGAATAAGAAACAGTATGAGCAAGATAGGTACGAGGCAGGCTGTGCTCAAGGTAACAGTAAGAGTTTGCCAGCTATATGGGCACTGAGACTAGAGTAGAACTTTGGCCAGACTGGCCATGCAAAGTTGATTAGTTTGAATTTTGCTATGTGGCAGTTTCTAAAAAGAAAAAAAATAATGTCCAGTCATGAATGCTTCATTTGATAGGGGAGGCCAGAGAAACCAGTTAGGACATTGTAGTAGGCATCTTTGCATTAATCGAGGGGGAGTGTATTAATCTGTAGTCCGTTTAGAAAGGACATAGTGAGATCAAGGAACAACAGACAAACTAACTTGACAATAAGGGTAACAGAGAAGGAATCAAAGAGAAAAGAATTTTAAATGATCTGCTCTCCCCCATGTAGTATGAGTACATCTTTATTGTGGGTATCATTATTAGAAACTTTTGAAGTAGAATGATGAAGTCAAACCAAAAAATAAGTAAAATAGTCCAGACATAAAACCAAACGGCCACCACTCGTCTGTCTGTCATGCTGTGCTGGTTTGAGTTGCTGTGATTCAGAGGACTATGCCACCGGTGTTTTAAATAACCAGCAGGGTCACCCATGGTGGAAAGGTTTCAGATGAGCTACAAAACAAAGACAGACTAGGAA